GCTTTAAGTCTTAGAGTGGTCTGGGTTTGATCTTATTCAACGATCGACAAAGCAAGTAAACTACAAATTAAAGTATTTATGCAGATGCTGTTCCTGACACCACCGGAATTCGAATGAAGGTCACACAGATTACAGACATGGACCCTAAACACCTCTAAGGGAAACTTTTAAATACAAAATTAATAAAAACTTTTGAGTTACAAACGATCAATAGACAAACTTAAAACTTTCTTTCAATGTCAGCAACTTAAAAATGCCCCCACAAATCTTAGATCGATATAATATAATAATAATATTAATGAGATAATTATCGTTACTGTCCGTAACCAGACATCCTCTACTGGAAACGCTTTCATTTCTTGAAAACGGCTGTCCATTAAAAGGCTGATCTGATCCATTTGACACACACACTGTCCAGAAAACCTTACGCCATCATGGTGCTGGCGCTGCTGTTATGGGCCGCAAGATGTTTAAAATGAGGTGCCTGACAGCAGATAACATCTGAAAAGCACTGGATCCATTATGGTGGCTGGTGTTCCGGGAATGGGAGAGGAGGAAAGAGACTCATCCAGAGGATTGGAGTGTAGAAGCAGGAGGAAGGGGGTAAGACGCGATGTAGAGGGGGCAGAATGAGATGGTCTGACAGTGGGGTAATTTCTTTAACGATTGGCTTTACTGATTATCAACAAGAAAAATAAAACATGAGAAACACATCCTACATTTATAATTAAACAAGAAGGGAAAAGCTTTCTTGCTTTATATTGTTTATAATAGCTCAAAACTTATTGAATCTAGAAAACAGTAAAATAAAAATGCTCTTAAAGCATTTTTATGCAATCTTACTTCATCTTGTTCAAAGTTTTGGTAAGTTTTCAATATCAATACAAAGGGTACACCTGGGATACACACACGATGCTACAGTATAGCCCATTAATCTTAGCCAGACTTATGATGGCAAAGACAAGAGAAAGAGAGCAGGAGAAGTCAAGGGGAGACGGATGTGGATCTAAAGTTAAAGACAGCCTGAGAACAATTGAACTGTGTAAAATGGCTTCAAATGAGGCTGAAAGTAGATTCAAATTTATGGTGAGAGAAGAATGGAAAGCAAGACATGAATAACCCTTCAGCTGGGTCAGGAGTAAAAAAAAAAGTATAACAGGAATAAATATATGTGGAAGATGATTTTGTCCACTGTTTGCTCGGTGGTGGATCTGTGATGCATTCATGTGAGAATGTGATACATTCTCTGCCAAAGATTTTAGATTTTTTTAGATTTTATGTAAGAGACGAAAATTGAGTTAAATCTTTTTTGATACACAGACCTAAATTTTTTGCATTCAATTATTTCAATTTTTCCAGATGGGGTGAATCTATGATGATATAGCCTAGTAAACTAGCCCGCCCGCCAGCAGCCGAAATCATTTTAGCCTGTGAGTGGATTGGCCTTGATCAATGCCCAGGCCCAACAACTAGCAGGCTAATCACAACGCAGAGAAATATTTTATACTTTCTGGATGAAAAGCGGGTGGGGTTTAGATGGCGTAACGACAAAGCTGCGCGACACTGAAGAAAGCACAAGGAAGATGGCAACAACTATTGAACAGTAGCATGCACTGCGGCAGCAGCAGCTTTCAATGGAGCGCACCATTGAAAGTAGACTTGGGGTTTTCATTGAAACGTGAGCGGGAAGAGGATCTACGCTCAATTTTTTAAAAGGACGTATTCACCGTTTTACCGACAGGCTGTTTGTTTACACTCCCCCACCAGCTTACTTTCACGCTTACTACGTTACAGTCAGTTATGCTCATTGGTCAGAGAGTTGGCCAGTAGGCACAATCATGGTTTGAAAGACAACGGGTTGTTCTCATCAACAATCTTCCGATGTCTCATTCATCGGGGCCAGACTAAATTACACATTTAATCTCCCATTTAGTCTGGTTTATCAGGCTAATGATAATAGTTATAATAGTCCATATCCAGTAATTAGCATTACCTGAATTTCCCCAATGTAGGGCACTTCAGGCATCTCATACATCTAATCATTAACTCATGAAAACACACCAATGCATTTTGGCTTCCTTTGGTCAAATTTGGAAACAGAATGCATTGCAAGCTGTTAATGCCCACAGTTAAGTATGGTGCAGGATCAGTAATACTGCAGGCCCCTTTTCTGTTTCAGTTGTCCAGGAAACCATGCTAGACTGAATGGCATAAAACTATTTGACTTACATAAATGTCCGTTTGAGTCTGCTAAGAAATGGATCCGTATTTAGCCTTTTTTACTGAAAAAGAGTCCAAATATGTGAATATGGAGCTATATCAGTCTCAATTTTCACAAATACACATATGTGATTCATACATACACGGGACAAGATTCACAGACGCAAAGCACGATTCACACAAGGAAAAAAAAAAAAAAAACACACACACGAAGGACAAGATTCACAGACGCACAGAACGATTGACGCATGCACACACAAGATCCAAACATGCAAACCATCCCCTTGTTTAAAAAAATGCATTTGTGTATCGTGGCATGTCAAGGGAGTCCCAAAAATCCAGACAAATGCAGTGAAATTTAAAAGACCACTGGCACTTTGTAATTTAATTCGTATTTTTACCAGAAATACTTTGGCGAATTTTGTTCTGTGCATGTGTGAATCTTGTATGCTTGTGTGACTCGTTCTGTGCGTGTGTGGATCTTGTACTCTGTGTGGAAGTTTTTGTGCTTGAGTGAATCTTGCTGTGCATGAATGGATCTTGTACTGTGTGTGTGTGTGTGTGTGTGGATTTTTTTTGTGCTAGAGTGAATCGTGCTGTGCATGAGTGGATCTTGTACTGTGTGTGTGTGGATTTTTTGTGCTAGTGTGAATCGTTCTGTGCATGAGTGGATCTTGTACTGTGTGTGTGTGGATTTTTTGTGCTAGTGTGAATCGTTCTGTGCATGAGTGGATCTTGTACTGTGTGTGTGGATTTTTTTGTGCTAGTGTGAATGGTGCTGTGCATGCGTGGATCTTGTCCTGTGCATGTATGAATTACACACGTGTATTTGTGAAAATTGAGATCAATCTAGCGCTATGACTGGATCACCAGGATTTTTTTCATAGTAAATTAAATTTCTCAAAACTCTTAATTTATAGTGTCACAGCATTAAAAGACATTCTCTTGCATTATCTCTTAATTTTTTTCCTCCCACATCTTTACCAGGAGTATCGGATCCAACTAAGAACTAGACCCATCAAGAAGCAGACATGCTGAGTAAAAAGAAATGAACAATCTCAGTGACGTCACACTGAACGATGTGTTCTTCTACACTCATTTTAATGCTGACGCTGTTGATATCTGTCATCTCCTCTGAACATGTGAAATACGGCAGCTGGTGCCACGGCAACCATTAATGTCCTGTCATAACATTCCTTCATGTCGAGCATCACCCGCCCAGCTGGCTGGTACAACCGCCAATCAAATTAACTGGCCAATTACACTTCTAATGCGGCACACAAAACATGGGCCAGATGCAACCTAGAAGGTAAAGCCAGATGTGAGGAGTCGTTAAATTACAAGTCATGTCCGGATGGAAATTAAAAATTATGGAAATGTGAAGGGCTTTTGGATATAAGGATCGAGGAAGAGTATGGGATTTTAATGGGTAATTCAGTGGAAAAGGATTCAAATTATTGTTGAAGAAGCCGACAGACTAAAGATGTCTTGATTTAAATTCCATGAGGATCTATTCTGTCTGTAAGCCAGCATGTTTTGAGTCATCTGAACTTTTAACCTCAGAAAATGTTACTATTATTGTTCCCCTGTTAAACAGCTCGAGGTGTTTTTTTATGAATACCTGTCAGTACATGGCAAATTCCTCAATTTGTTCATTTTAATAACCTATGCTTATTCATAAATTCTAATCATGAATGTGAGAGTTTCCAAATAATTTAGTGAATAGAATAGTTATCTGTAGTAAAAGTACTTTTCCTAACAAAGTAAAACTTTATTGGCAGTGTAAAAGTGCTGAGGGAATCGGCTTTGATCGGTTTCCTCATAAGGAAAACACAAGGACTCCTTCCCTAACAAAAGCAGGCTCCTTGGAGCCAAGTTCAATTTTCGAATGACCCTCGGAGTTCATCACAAAGAGCTTTGGCTCGTTTAGCAGCTCCCAAAGCTCTAATCAACATTTTAAAATATGCTGCAATTAATGTTCTTTCTCCACCTTTTTTTTTGTAAAGTTTTGCGAGAATCGCAGATATTTAAAACTAAGCATCTGAACAGATCTGCTGAGGCTTTAAGGTGAAGGATCAAGCCTGGTTCATAATACAGTATTAGAACTGAGTCGAAAAGAGACTGAGACAGATGATTAGTAAAAACTGACACGTTTGTTATATTTTATTTGGTTGGTTTGTAACTACAACATTTTTGGCAGCTGGATTGAAATAAAATTTTCCATCTGCAGCCGAAGGAAAGGGGGTACCACTGATCATTATTCATTATTTGAATCAAAAGTGTAAAGATATTAGTTTGATTATTATTATTAGTAGTAGTTTATATATATTTCAAAAGGATAAATCCCGAAATACCTTCTTACTTTGTGTACAAAAATTTAAGTTCAGAATTTTGAAAGGCTATAATATAAAAAGGAAAAAAAACTAAAATTGTCTTTTAGCATAGAGAGAGGAAAGTCAGGGTTACATTATCACAAACAACAAGTAAAATATTATTATATTGAGTCTCCATGTTGCTGTTAGAGGATGTATGCAGCAAATGAGACTCTGATCAACCATTATGATTCGTTATCACAACTTTGGATGCAAATCAAAACCAGATTTAGACTCTCCAACCTGGAGCCAAAAAGATCCATATTGTACTATTTTGATCCCAAATAGATGATAGCACTTATAGTTCCCCCTACAGTATAAGGTAAAAAACTTTACACAAAGTGATGCTTAGCAAAGTTAAAGGAGCAGGAAGTAAAAGTAACAGCTAGTGTCGGGGTGGATTCTTACCAAGTCTCTGTGGGTCTGCTTCTGGGGTTCAGCACTCTAGAGGACGGGGAGGGAAAGGGGAGTAGAGGGGAGGGAGGGTAGAAGAACCAAAAGCAGTCAAGCAACAGATATTTATTAACAGAAACGGTTTATATCTGATCACATGAATGACAGCGGATGTAGGTAAGAAACATGAAGCAGTTTATGAAAAAAAAACGGGCATGCAGAGGGTGAAAATGGTCGACCTCGGCTACCAGAGCGACAGCGGCTGCTCTCTGCTCTAAAATCAGCCTGAAATAGACTTTTTTTATATGCAGGGCATGGCACACCACCCAGGGTGCTATATCACAAGGGGAGAGCATGACCGCTCCATGAAGAATAAATGAATTTTAAAAATTAACACGTCATTCTGTGCTGACTTAAAGGGTTATTTCACTTTCAGGAATGTGGATTGCATTTGGCCTTTTCGTATTTAAAATTGTTAATCTGCCAAAACCTGAGCCTGAAAACTTAAATTTTATGAAGCCTCTACATTATTTTATAAAGAGTAAAACATAAACCCAGCATGTCAAATGGTTTTCTGGTATTTAAACCGTGTTAAATTAGGAAACCACTACTAATAAAAAAGAAAACCACTATTAAAAATCAAACCAATTACTAAGTCATGATGATCATGATTCATTGAAACAGAGTTCTTTGATAAAAAGCTAAATGTATTCTGTTTTTATAAGATAATGAGAGTGTTTAAAGAGGCCCCGGTCTATGGACTTCACCTTCATAATTCGGCAATATCCAAAGTAAAACGTCAAGGTCTGATGCCCTGAATGTTATAAACTTCCTCTTGGTTCAACCTGAATCTAACAATGTCGTAAAACTCCTTGAAAAGCTCAAGAAGTGGTTCAAGATTCTGCTGTTTAGGACCAGGTACCTAAAACCAGTACTCGAGTTGACTGGTGAATGGCATCCCACTTTTTAAAAAAAGACTTAAAAATCCTCCCCCTTCTTAAATGAACATCCACCTGTGACATTCTATTAATGAATTTCTACAATATACTAACAGTAATGGCAATGACATTGCCCTTTCAACATTGGGACTGTAGGCTTACCAGTAGCCTGAGCAAAATAGATAAAATCAAAGATGCATATTGCTTTAGGTTAAAAGACTATATTAATGTGGCTATGTATGCTTCCAAAAAAAAAATTAAATTACACTATCCCTCTTCTTCTTTTTTTTTTACAACTAGACTACCGCCTAAAACTACATAGATGGCAGGGCTGCCAAAGCTCGTCCATGATGGCCGCTGTTGTTCTAAAGGTTTTAGAGTTTTCTCTGCTTTAGCAAACCCTAATTAGATGAGTGCAGTTCTGCAAAAGCCCTTCAATCATCCAACAATGAGAATCAGCTGGGCTGAAGCAGGAAACCTATGGCAAGCCTTTTTAACAAATTCGGTTTTATCTGACCATCCATAATTACGTTCCAGATATCTTAAAATACATTTTGACTAGACAAAATTTCTTTCAAGATATCTCAAATTACGACACCGGATTACGACACAAGCTGATTTAACTTTTCCTCCTTTGGATTACACTGACAGTAAGGATTTTTTTTAGGAATGATCCTCCTGGAAGCCCATTAAAAAGATCATTACACATTCTGACTAGTCAGAATGTCAATTTAAGATATCTTTAATGGAAAAGCTGAATAATTCAAGATATCTTTAATTCATTTAGAGATATCTTAAAAGGAATTTCGAATAGCCTAAATTACAATTCAAAATATCTTTAAATTTGTTTTGTCTAGTCATTATTTGCTTTTAAGATATCTATAATTGAGTTTTCACTAGTCAAAACTGCGTATCTCCTATCCTAAAAAACATTTAAGATATCATGAATTATGGTGGCATTTGAGATATCTTTAATTAGAATTATGACCAGTCAAAACTAAAATCGAGATATCTTGAAATTACTTTATGACTAGTCGTAATTTAATCGTAGATATCTGAAATGTGTATTTCAGATAGTCAATAATTAATTCTAGATATCTTAAATTGACGTCTCCATACAAGTTAATGGTAAATCTGAAGTCATTTCGACTAGTCAGAATGTAATTAGAGATATCCCGAATAGGTATTTTGACTAGTCAAAATATAATTAGAGATATCTTAAATCGCTAAAATGAATTTATGTTAAAGCGGCTTGCCATAGTAACATCCATAACCTGCAGACCACCGGCCATCGAAGGTCCACTTTAGACACCTATGCATTGAGGGGTCGATCTGGGAACTGTTTTAAAAATTCCACTGATCAAATCTCCCCTCTGGCTTGCCATCAGCTTTAACAGTACATTTCTTACATTTCAAGTTTTTATTGCTTGGCCTTTTCTTATTTCTGTATTTTCCTCATAATCCCCATACCCATGTCTAAACAACCCACTTTGTGCAAAGGTGACCAAGCTTTCACTGTGACTGTCCGAAAACCACGTAACAGCTTAGACCACATAATCATTCAAATGTCCTTTAAAAACTTATTTATTTTACAAAACTGCATTTTTGTGTGTGTGTGTGTGGTTGTGTGTGTGTGTGTGTTTGTGTATTTATGTTACTGTTTAGCCAAAGAAATGTCTTCCCCTTTGACGATTATGCATATTTTCTCTGTTAAAGCGTGCTACACACAAGCTTTGTCTGCTTCACGGATAAAAAAAGGTTCATTTTGTTTGGAGGGAACGGATTTGTTTCAGCTAAACTATAAGAGAATAAAATAAAGCGAGGCATTCCTGGCAGCCATGCCGCCCACACACAGACTCAGAGGCTTGGATTGCCAGATCCCATTCTCATACAATTCTGATACAAAGACTTAGATTGTTTCTTTGTTTTATAGCTGGTTTTGTTGCCTGATTATTATATGTTTTTTTTTTTTTTTTTGCAATGCAATGATGATTACAGGAAAGTTGGACCAAGTCTTTTAGAATTAATTGAATTTCAGCTATAGCTTTCAGAGAAATGGGCAGCAGTCATGAAAGATGTTTCCCCCTCTACAGGTGCTGGTCATAAAATTAGAATATCATGAAAAAGTAGATTGATTTCAGTAATTCCATTTAAAAAGTGAAACTTGTATATTATATTCATACATTACATACAAACTCATATATTTCAGATGTTTATTTTGTTTAATTTTGATGATTACAAATGACAACAAATGAAAATCTCAAATTCATCATATCAGAAAATTAGAATATTGTGAAAAGGTTCAAAATTGATGGCCCCTGGTGCCACACTCTAATCAGCTAATTAACTCAAACCACCTGCAAAAGCCTTTAAATGGTCTTTCAGTCTAGTTCTATAGGCTACACAATCATGGGGAAGACTGCTGACTTGACAGTTGTCCAAAAGACGACCATCGACACCTTGCACAAGGAGGGCAAGACACAAAAGGTCATCGCTAAAGAGGCTGGCTGTTCACAGAGCTCAGTGTCCAAGCACATTAATAGAGAGGCGAAGGGAAGGAAAAGATGTGGTCGAAAAAAGTGTACAAGCAAGAGAGATAACCGCACACTGGAGAGGATTGTGAAACAAAACCCATTCAAAAATGTGGGGGAGATTCACAAAGAGTGGACTGCAGCTGGAGTGAGTGCTTCAAGAACCACCACACACAGACGTATGAAAGACATGGGTTTCTGCTGTCGCATTCCTTGTGTCAAGCCACTCTTGAACCACAGACAGCGTCAGAAGCGTCTTGCCTGGGCTAAAGAGAAACAGGACTGGACTGCTGGTGAGTGGTCCAAAGTCATGTTCTCTGATGAAAGTAAATTTTGCATTTCCTTTGGAAATCAAGGTCCCAGAGTCTGGAGGAAAAGAAGAGAGGCACTTCATCCACGTTGCTTGAAGTCCAGTGTAAAGTTTCCACAGTCAGTGATGGTTTGGGGTGCCATGTCATCTGCTGGTGTTGGTCCATTGTGTTTTCTGAGGTCCAGGGTCAACGCAGCCACATACCAGGAAGTTTTAGAGCACTTCATGCTTCCTGCAGCTGACCAACTTTTTGGAGATGCAGATTTCATTTTCCAACAGGACTTGGCACCTGCACACAGTGCCAAAGCTACCAGTACCTGGTTGAAGGACCATGGTATCCCTGTTCTTAATTGGCCAGCAAACTCTCCTGACCTTAACCCCATAGAAAATCTATGGGGTATTGTCAAGAAGAAGATGCAATACACCAGACCCAACAATTCAGAAGAGCTAAAAGCCACTATTAGAGCAACCTGGGCTATCATAACACCTGAGCAGTGCCACAGACTGATCGACTCCATGCCACGCCGCATTGCTGCAGTAATACAGGCCAAAGGAGGCCCAACTAAATACTGAGTGCTGTACATGCTCATACTTTTCATGTTCATACTTTTCAGTTGGCCAACATTTCTATAAATCCTTTGTTTTTATTGGTCTTCAGTAATATTCTAATTTTCTGATATGATGAATTTGAGATTTTCATTTGTTGTCATTTGTAATCATCAAAATTAAACAAAATAAACATCTGAAATATATGAGTTTGTATGTAATGTATGAATATAATATACAAGTTTCACTTTTTAAATGGAATTACTGAAATCAATCTACTTTTTCATGATATTCTAATTTTATGACCAGCACCTGTATGTGAAATGATTATCTTAGCATTAAAAGTGAATTTTATGCTAGATTTTTATACTATAGTGAAATACAAATGGGCTAAAAAAACATAAAAATGATTCCAGATATGTAGTTTTTCCTCATTTTATATCAGTGATCAGAGCTATTGAAATGCCTACAGCATAATCAGTTAAAGTTTGAGATGTGTGCCACCTGCGGCACTAATATAACAGCTGCTGATTTTATGTTTTCATTACTCTGCATTAAGTATAATTTATTAGACTGAGTGCCTGCTGATTCAATGAAATGTAAGTTTGTCAGATCTCTATATGCACTTTATAGAACCATGAATAAAGCATCGACTGTGTGTTTTATGATTCATTTAAATGCTCATTTTACCAGATGAAATGATTGAACACCTGCAGTGTTTCTATAATTTACATCAGGTAAAATGTATATCTACAGGTTCACATCTATTCATACACTCAGCTAAAGTCGCCACAGTCTGCTCCCTCCTGGCTAATGATTATGAGGGTAGGTTTTCATAGAATGGGAAGGTTTTGACTGAGATCCCAACAGCTACACATTTCAAACCTAACCTTCTGAACCTACAGATCCAGCTGTGAAGCACAGTGGTGGCAGCATCATGTGTTTGGTAGAATAAAAGAAGATTTAACACGCTTAAATTCTTCAGCTGATGAACTTTATCAGAATATGCTAATAATTTGAGAAGGACCCGTATAACTTAGGATCATTGGGTGCCATAGAAACATAGAGCTGAAGGAGGTTTGACAGAATCGATGTTAATGGGATGTAAACATGCTTTTTCAGTGTTTGCCAACAGTCACTGGCTTTTTAATCTTCAGTTAAGCCTCTATAGGTTAAGCAACAAGGCATCGTTTTTATAAAATAGCAAAAGACATAAATGTTTAAACGTGGAGAAACAAAGTTACTAATAATCACCAAAAGCTACAGCTAGGCTCTAAATTTTAAATCATTAACTAAGACATTCATTTTCTCAGGACTGTCCATTTCTGAAGCTAAGGATGAACAGATGGATGGTTGGACCTGACTGGACTAAAGACTGTGACGGCGCCTCAGGTACCGCACTGCAACTATGGCATAATAACAGAGGTGATGGAAGACCAGAATATACTGTATATATATTGCTTATTCTTAATGCACCTTTTTCCTCCTTGTTTGCACCTTCTGTAACTTCTATGCCAATATGTGACGAGTGAATTTCTCCGCTGTGAGATCAATAAAACTCATCTAATCAGAATAAGAAATGCTTCCTGCTCTTCCATGGCTGCTTCTACAAAGAACTGTCCTTCCTGCTTTGCAAAGATCACCATGCTTTAACAGTGCTCAACCAGGCTTTAGTTGCAGACTCGCTGTCGAGTCTGGACAACTATCGCTTCGGCCTTTCTTTCAAAGAAGCTTAGCATAGCTTAGAAATCTGTTTGGACAGACAACCAGCAGATTTCCAACCCTAAATTTCCGCACAAAGGTCTTTGGATTAATGCAGAAGCCTATCGTCCAAAGACAGAAAATCCAGAGAGGATTTACAAAGTGGAAACATTCCTTTTTCTTTTCCTTTCAGTCAGCTGATCACAAGACATTTTGATTTCTTTCTGGCTAAAGCAGGGGTTTGGAGTCACAAGAGGTTATTTAGACATTGAACCACGGCTCTTGATCACTTTGGCTGAAAAACGATGAAGAGCCACAAAATCTTTAAAAAAAAACAATAAATAAAATGTTCTAAAAAAATGCTGGTTATCATTTTCCCCACTGGCTAACTGTGTTGACTTTCCAAAATAAAGTAACTAAATTTTACAGAAATACATTTCTTTAACTTTCATTTTCTTTAAAAATTTCCCAAAATTTCAGCCACCCATTTTAATTGTATTTATTCCCTTTTAGTTCGTTTTTCTCTTCAATATTAGAACCTAATATTTGAAAAGCGACGCCATAATTTAAAAAAAAAGGAAAAATCACAGGTGGATATTTATTAAATACAACTCTTCTTTTTCTCAGTCTAAAGTTTGTGGCTTAAAAGAACTTTTTTTTAAGCTGGATGTTTTCTGGTCACTCCCAATGGAGCTCTTGTATTGAACTTTTGTCTAAAAGCTTTTGAGATTATTTAAACTGTACCTTGTAATCCAGATAACCTCCTCTTTGTTAAAACAGATTAAATTATAATCTGTGGCTAGACATTGATCTCCATGAGTTTATGATGCAGTCAGTTTGTTCTCTGAAGTCAAAACTTCCAATTTCTAAATTAGAAATTTCAACTGGAACGCCCCCAGAAAGTCAGGATTACAATTCATAAAGGTGGGCGCACCAGGATGACACCTGACCTCTGCATTCAAGATGGATGCTACTCGCATCAACAGTTTTTACTTTCCAACCAACTGTTTGTAACGGTCATTTTGTTGTATATGTAGCAGTAAATCAAGCATTCAGGTGTTTTTTTGTAAGTGTTTACATGACAATCTGTTTAAACACAGTGTATATTTTTAGGATACAGCTTTTAACAGCCTTTTTGTCATGGTTATGGTTGGAGCAGGGACCGTAGTGGCCATACAGAATACCAGGGTCTGCAAGCAAAAAAAGTCTTCCGAAAACGCATTTACCTTAGAGATTTTGTTTCCCAAACTCATTAAATTTGTGTCCTGAGAAAGGAAAGGAAACAAGGGAAATGAAATGAAAGGAAAGACACGGAAAGGAAAGAAAAGAAGAGAAAGGAATAAAGTGAGAATGGAATAAATAGAAGGGAAAGGAAAGGCAAGAGAAGGCAAGGCAAGGAATTAAAAAAAAAAGAAAAAGAACCTGGTTTGACAGGACATATGGATGGATTTAGCAAGGTGTGATGGCTTGATAAATGAATGGATGAAAAGATGGACGAATGGATGTACATACTGACAGACCAGTATGCAAAGGAACCAACTAAAGGATGGATGGAAGGACAGATGCACTGATGAACAGAGACTTGCATCTAATGTGCATTTTTTATCTACTGGTTAGACCAGCTGATCTTCAGAAATTCATTTTAATTTCCAGTGTTATTAGAACCAAAGTCTATAAATACTAAAGTATTTTTTATATCCTTTGTTGCACCTCGAAAATACTTTGAATTCGACCTGTAAGAACCCCAGACATGTTTTAATCTCACTAGGATTCATATCTGTGTACCGTGAGAGATGTGAGGATGGCGCCTGATTGATATTCAAGCCCAGTTTGTTTTTTCCCTCCCTTCCTGCAACCTGGCCCGCGTCTGTCTGCTCATTCCCACATCAATCAATCTGAGAGTCAGCTCAGAGGTAAAACACACAGATGGAGATGGAAGTGAAGAGATAGAGGAGGAAATAAACAGGAGGGGAGGGTGAAAGATAAACATAAAGACTGAAGATAGAGAAAGGGATAAAGTGACTGAGCTCTACAGGTTTGTCTCCTGATAACACAGGAGTGCAGCGACAGAGCAGGACGATCGATCTGCATGCTCGGGCGGAGCCATGTGTAAACTCCGACATGAGGAGTCAAACGCAGCACTCCCTGTGAGGACTAACAGTCGTTCTGACAGCTCAGGGGAACTGTGAGCACACAGAGTAGTAATTATTAGATGTTCATGCACAGGGAGGTGAAGGGAAGCCAAAGGTGGAACATTGAGAGGGAGAGAGAGTTCCCGACTTACCACTTCACGGGGAAGGAAAGCGTCCTCCTGGCGTAGAACCAGCAGCCCCACTGCCCCACCCATAGGCGTGTTCCTGAGCAACGACACCACCTCCTCCTGGGTCCGTCCATTCAGGTCCACCCCATTTACCTGGGCAAGACACAGTGACTGAGGTCAACTCACAATCAACCGAGGATTCAAGGAACTTAAAGAGAAACTTATGATGAGAGGTTTTCCTCTGCTTGATTTGTCCCATTTCCCTGCTATATTTATCTGTAAATGTAAAGGGATTAGGGCAGGGTAAAAAAATCGATTCCTTTACATTTTTGCAAAATCGATGTCTAGGGAATGAGATTGATTCATTTTATAGTGATTTGTGTGACGTTCACATTCAAATGAGCAGGAAAGATGCACTCAAGGTGACTTCAAGCCAGGCAGCTGCAAATATAGCAAATAGGTTGATTGAATACATTAATAAATGGGGGCTGACAAGCAAACACTCTGTAGTTGTTACAGACAATGCTGCACATATGGTTTGTGCAGCGGAGATAATGCAGCTCATGCATGTCTGCTGTGTCATGTCTGCTTGCTCGAGTGAGGCTTAACTTTTTCACTTTTCACAAACAAGTTTGCACTTATGAGAGAGTTTTGTTCACATCTCAAGTTTAAACTGTCTGATTTACAAGTTTACACTTTGTGTTTAATGTGACAGGAAGAAAAACAAAATACATGAGTATTTTGAAACACAGTTGAACCACTTTTATTATTGTAGAAACAGATCGAATCGAAATTAATCTATTTAGAACTGTAGGAATCAAAATCGAATAAATTCAGGACTTGGCGAAAATACCCAGCCCTAAAAGGGATGGATAGACGGACAGAATTACCAACTGATGGATGACTTGAGCTGATGGTGGAAGATTAGACATGGGCGGCTAAACGATTGCATGGATGGATAGACAGATAAAAGCTAATCTACAGACCAAAGTTAAAAAATAGGAAAGGTGATAAACGGATAAAAATAAAACATTGGGGTTTAACTTTTGTTATTGAATGATTTAGGATTGAATGATAAATAACCTTGTTCAAGATGCGTCGTTACACTGTCATTACACTATCATAACACTGTTACATTCTAGAAACTTAATGGGGTGAACAATCTGGTTCTGATTATTATCATTTATAACGGAAATCTAATAAAACTGCTGATTATGTCAACCATCTGTTCTTACTTATTCTTAGACTACATGCCAGAGAGCAAAGCATAAATTCAACAAGAAATATCCCCCTTTTAAAAAAAAAGAACCAATAAGAGGCTGAAACAGAAGCTGAAATAAAGTACATCTGAAAGAGGGTACTGCCATAACACTTTTAGGATGAAGTGTTTTCAAAACAGCAAAATTAAAGTTTGTCTATTTTTTGATCCATCTTGTAGTTTGGTTTTCAGATTTAGTTGATGAGATGAGCTTGTGACTGGAGACAGAAGTTCTGAGCCTCACAGTGTAATGATTCCTTATGCTAATGACTTGCAAAAAGAAATGATGCAATGTCAAACGATGTTCCCTTATTGCAGCACAAGAGTTTTGGATCGTGCTCTTTGATTTCTGAACAGGAGGAAGAATTTCCATATCAAAAACAGGAAACTTTAATTAACAGGCTACACTTTGAAATAAAACAGATGGCAGGCACGTTTGACTGATAAGCCGGTTCAACACTAAGAAATGCATGTCGCATATTAGGGCTTAACATTTATGCTACAACATGAAAAGGAATTCTGCAAACAGCGCTGCATGCTTGCCATCTTACCTCCAGCAGCCGGTCTCCCGCCTTAAGCCGGCCATCTTGGATGGCGGCTCCGCGAGGAAGTATGTTCTTGACGTAGATTGGAGCAGAACCCCCGATGGGAACGTCACGTGAGGTTATGCTGAAGCCGAGTCCTTCAGGGCCTTTACGTAAAAACAAAAGACAGGATGACAGACAGTTTTATGGTTTGATCTTCAGGAAAGCTTGTAAGAGAGCATTAAGATCCAACTGGCAGAGTTGTGAACAAAACTGATGTAAGAGGGGGAAACAGCGGCAGCGAATGTGTATGGGGATGAATTTAGCTCCGAATGAGAGGGAGAACATATGTATCTGAGTAATTACATCATATGTTTACAGGAAATAACAGCAGTGAGAGTTAGAGGGGCTGCAGCATATGCTTAAATTGACATATCTAAAGAGTTAACAGATTTATTCCTTCATTTAACACTTGTATTCAAATAAAAAGCTTCTGTTTTTAGGGATGCATCTTCATTACTGTAATAAGTCTTGACAAGGATGATAGTCTAAGCAGAAAAGCAACATCTACAATAGATCACACCATGGAAATTACTGCTGAAAAAAAAAAGAAAAGAAGGAAGTAGGGAAGTACAGGAGAGGAGTCAAGACAAGGAACAAAGGAATGAGGGAAATAATAGAAAGTAGGATCTCAAAAAACTGAACAAAAGAATAAGGAAAGGAGCATGGAAGGACATGAGGAAGGAGGGACCAACAAACAATAAAAAAAGGAAAGAATGAAGGTAGAACACAAGGGAAGGAAGGTAGGGCACAGGGAAATAGGCACAGAAGCAAAGGAAGGAAGAGAAAGGACATTAATGAAACAAGGTAAAAGATAAAGAGAACAGGGAAGTTTAAAAATATGCTGACTTTTAGACTGAGTGGGAATCCAGCTAACAGGATTAGCAGAATTGTAGGAATTTAAAATTTGGATCATTCATAAGCTAAAACTTTTTGCACTAATGTTGACAGTGAGGACCCTAACTGGACCGCAACCAGTTGAAAAAACATGGAGAAACTGCATTTTCTATGAGAAAGTTTTGGGTTTGATTCCTGGCATGGAGTTAACATGTTCTCTCCGTGCATGCATAGATTAACTCCGGGTGCCCCGGCTTCCTCCCACAGTCCATAAAGATGGCTATTAGGTTAATGGGCTCCTCTAAACTGTCCTTAGGTGTGAGTGTGTATGGATGGTTGTATGTCCCTGTTGCCCAGCGACAGACTGGCGACCTGTCTAAGGTGTATCCTTCTCTCCCGTAGACTGCCAGAGATGGGCAGTCTAGGGATAGATGGATGGAAAATGACAACCAAAAACATTTTTCTTTACAATTTAACATAATAAATGCAACTCTGGCAATATGTCTAATAGCATACTTGGTGCAGAGAAGAACTGTTGGTTTAAATCCGACTATTAGGGACCTACAAGGGAATCTTTTTTCTATTTTTTGTTAAAAAATGGACTAAATTTAAGCAATCAATGCTTGGAACTTCTGCAATTTATTTTCTGTACACTGCATGTCTTCACAGTTTAAAGACAAATTATTTTTTCTGCAATTAAAGGCATTTTTTTGTGTGTAGTTTGCATGCAATAACATGTGTTCCATTACATCCATTTGCACCAACTAAACAAAGATCTATAAAATCTATCACCCTGCAAAATGAGCAATCGTCTCAGATGAAGCTGTGAAAACGTATTGTTTAAAGAAGTGAGCATGAGACTGTGCATCAGAGTGCTGTCCTTAATCCAACAACAGTAAAACACGTTACCATGCTGTTTCACATCCTCAAACTAATCCCCCACATTGATGAGCAATCAGCTTCCCGCAGGCAGACGAGAACCGTTGGTTTCTTCCTCTGGTAAACGTTGGCATGAAGCAAGTGGGAGGATCTTTAAGACTCGTTACCATGATTAGGACACACCTAAGCAGTTTCCAGGACTCCTTAATGGATTTTGATACTCTGCATAAGTTACAACAAGACTGTTGTCTGATTTGAGGCTGTAAACAACACAGGAATTCAATCTGCGCTCAAAGCTTTGAGCTTAAATCGGCACTTAGAACAAAATGAGAGGAGCCAAACCAGCTCTTGGGAGCCGCTGTTAATCCCTGCAAATGTCTGCTTTACTAACAGCAGACAAAAGAGAGGAGTGACAACAGATAGTGACTCTAATCTCACTGTATGTGCTGAAAGTTGCAAATCAAAGAAATGAGAGCAAGAATGAAAATGCTGTGGCTAAAGATGTTGCTTAGGATGCAACAAACACCTGGTTGGTTTTAATTTAATCTTTGATAGTCTGGATTAATTCCAGTCTGATAAGACCCGACAGAATTGGGTGAGAATTTCCATGACACATGATGCAGGACAGTCGACTCCATTCAGGGGCCAGCAGCTGCTTGGCACCCAGCTTTCTGGCGCTAACACCTGGAGTCCTTCTGGCTGAAGATCAAACCACCAGGCCTAGCTGTCACTCAAACCAACACTGGGGAGATCTTCAGAAACCATCAGTCCTGTCCCAGATCTGTTTGTTTCATGTTCCAGGTTCCAGAGGTTTGCATGAACGGGTCTCAGCTTCACAACAGCTGGAAAATCCTCCCTGTTCTGTAGGTTCTCGTGACAGTTTCTTTGCATGATTGTTTTAGATGCTCCAAAAAGGATAAAGTTGCTTCTTTAATAAGAAACAAAGCATCAAAACTAGCGATTCTTTTGATAAGTGGTTAATCTGTTAATTATTTTTTACATAAATAATCGCATAGCAAAAGGTTCCTTAAATAAGATATTTTTTTACGAAATTCAACCAGGAGAACTAAGACTTTTCAACTTGACAAGATCTGGATGGAGCATATTGACAGATGAAAATGCTTTTATTATTTTAAATGCAAAATATTTATTTTATTTTATTCTTTCTTTACATTCTAGATACTGTTATAAGTATGTAACTCTTTAAGCTAAAGCAGTGCTTCTCAATTATTTTCTGTTACGCCCCCCTAGCATCTCTGCATAACATTTTATCCTTATTAACATTAAAGAAAAGAAAAAAAGAAAGACATATGGCCAAACTTTCAAAGAATAACTTTATTAAATCGTGTTTTAAGTCTGCAACAGGAAAGATTTTAAGTGTATCAATGCCTGAAATTAAAAAGAAATAAATCCTTGCTTAAACAATATTCAGCACGTTTTCGCTGAAAAAACTCTAGCGGCTTATCGGCGTGATTGGGGTGTAACGTATTTAAGTGACACGCTAATTTATTTGGCTTCATGGTGTCCGCTGCGAGTGTTTTGAGACACACCAAACACATCGGTCTTTCCTCTTCTCTAACTGTAATACAGTGAAGCCAAGCGCTAAATACGATTCTTCGTATTTCCTCGTCTTAGCTTTTGGGTGATTTTCTTTTGTCTCATTATTTTTGTCTCTCTCCGCTTATTTTTTTAATCCCTGTTAAAAACTTTTTCATGTTGGGGGTTGTTATGTTGAATAACGGAGGCTATAGACAGAACGCAGTGGAAGTTTCTGTTGACTCAACACTGCTAACCAAGGCAAACCTTTTGTCTCGTAAGTCATAAAATGTTGCACTGTCACAAACGTGACAGAAGTAACAATGAGAGCGCCACTGCCGCCTACTGTAGTGGATGCGGAATTACACTTCATACTAGTACGGCCAAAAAAAAAAAAGCCTGTTCCCCAGGGTCACACGAGCCCCCCCAGGTATCGCACCGCGCCCCCTACTATTTGAGAAGCACTGAGCTAAAGGCATAGTTTACAGTCTCTACACTCCAGTAAAAAATTAATCAACTACTTAATTAGTTGACGATTATTGCAATAATCTATTAATCATGATTAATCCAATTAGTTGTTTCAGTCCTAGTCAGAACAAAGATGTAACAGTTAAGCTGCTGCTTTAAAACAATAGATAATAGGCTTCCAGTAACTGAACAACATGGGGTAACAAAAAAACAGACCGCTGCTGCTCTGGGGTGAAATCACAACCGAAGAGTTCAAGTTCATTAGGAAACGGAGTTCTATCTATTTATGGTTATCCCCTTATAATGAGAGCCTACAGAGCTAAGTTAAAACTGATGGTAGAAACACAGAAACCACCAGTTGTTTGATGCGTGCACTAGGGATGCACGATATTGGGATTTTGGCCAATATCCGATATGCCAATATTTTAAAACTCTGTAGCCGATAACCGATATCGATACCGATGTTAAAGCTGGACAAAAATAAGTAGTCATTGAAAATAGCAGTTTCGTTATCCATTTCTGATACTTTGAAAAATAATATACTCAAATATATTTTCATATGCTGATATCAAATAGATTTTTAAAAACACGGTATCGGTCTATTTTACTTTCAAAATCTTGTGAAATTTCATCGTTCTGTTACAAACTCTCATGATATTTTAAAAAATTCTTGTGAGATTTTGTTAGTAAAATAGATCGATACCGAGACAATATATCAACATATAAAAATATGGCAAAATTTCGTGAATTTTCGGGGGATTTCATAGCATAACGATGACATATAGCAATATTTCATTAGTAAAAGAGATTGATATGGTGTTTTTAAATGGCAATATATCAGCATATGAAGATATTGTGATATTTTAATGTATCAATATTTTTTCCCTCGTCTTTAGAAGTTTTTAAGTCTGTAAAAAAGAAGTTTTTGAGGAAGAAGAAGAAGTAGGTTTTTTTTTGGTTTTTTTAGACTTTAGGAACTCAGAAGCTGATCAAATATCGGGTTAAATATCGGTGGGGTGGCCGATGTCCGATATTCAGTTTTAAGGCCGATACAGGCCGATACCGATAGGGGGCCGATTATATCGTGCATCCCTAACGTGCACTGGTAAAATGTGACATCACAGCCTGGAACGACGATTACAACACTTATAGAGATGAGGATTTTGCGGTCAAAAAACTTTTAACTGAAATCAACATCTTATTTAAATGTTTCAATGATCCTGTGGATATTTTCCAGGATAATCTCAACATTAATTTTTGATCAATGTATTTTCCAAATACATGAAATCTTCGGAACGTCATCCTGCAGATTTTCACCTCACCTTTCTTAAGCTGAATGTTGAGCCTCCTCCCCACTTTTTTCATATATCCCGTCGTTGGTGTGGAGGTCAGCGCCCTCTGAGGTGAGTGGGTGTGGCCTGTGGGAGGTTTGGCAGCGGAGACAGCAGGGTGGGTCAAATGTGGATACCCATTGTTTGGGTCTGGGTGGGTGTGGGTGGCAGGATGAGGGTGGGTTTGGGAACCGTGGCGTGTTATCCTCTGTGAGCTGTGGTCGACTCCTGATAGGGAGTCTGGACTAAAGCGTCCAGAATGGAAAGAAGGGTTCCTCTCTGCGTGTGAGAGCTGCTCGTAGTGGGCCCTCAGGGAGGACGGGACCACGTGGAACATGATCACAGGAGAACGCATGGCCTGGCGGAACATATTCTGTGCTCTAGAACAAAAACAGAAAAATGGAGAAAGTGTAATTTTCAATATGAAAGGAGCATCACATACTCATCCAAAGTTAATCACACAGAGCACATTTATAATTGCCTAAGCATCGTTGCTTGGTGAAGCACTCCACCTACCAGATGTCCATCTTCGCCCACCTGAACAGTCTGACAAGTTAATTAACACTTATTTCCAACGCAAGCCGCTCTAAAAAGAAACTGAACCCACCCAGACTCCTCTACCACATAATCTTCCCATTTGGCTGCAGATGAAGGAGGCCGCTATGCGTCGACTTGTTCACAGAAAATCCTCTTTAAAGCCCCTTCAGAGCGGGCCCTTCCACAGAAGGTGTGAGTGGAAACTTGTTTTTCCTTGTTAGCACCACCTGTTTCAGTGCAGCACACCCTGACAGCTGAGCGGGCGTTTGGAAAAACCAAAAGGCTCCAGAATTTAAAATGCCTCCCTCCCTTCAGCCCGCGGACTAACAGCTAAAACATGAGGAATTTCTTTAGGCCCCATTTTTCCAGTTGCTAATAATATTCCCTGCGGAGGAATTTGCCACGGCATCTTTAAAATGTTTGGCTTCTGAAATCAAGTGCCAGACAGGATGTAATATCCAATGTGCCTCCATAAAAATGTCTTTTAATACCAAGGATAACTGCTGCTCTTGTAAAGTGCCTGGAAGGTTTATTCCTCACCTTTTCTGCAAAGGTTATGTTTCAGAGGCCGGGCAGCAGGCTTTGACATAACAGGAACAATAAGGATTCAATTACTTTTTGTTCTAAAGCCAAAAGACACCAGTGTTATGCAAAAGGCTCAAGTCTTCATGTGTTATTGCTCTACCACCTTTTAGCAAGATTTTTGATTTTTGTTGAAGGTTGTATAAAGTTTTGCTTTAATGTTCATTTCAGTCATTTTTAATAAAAAAGATAACTTTTTTTAGAAAGAAAGTTACCCTGTAAATCCTACAATAGGGGACTGAATTCCTGTAACGTCCAGACAAATTCTAGAAGAGATGTTTTTTATCAGAGTATCACTAGTATCCTGTATTTATATTACAATAACTTGTAGGTTCTTTGACATTAATCTGCAATTTACCCATAGGTAGCATGCTTTAGTTCTGGAAATCTGCATTTAAGTTCATGAAGTTGACCTGTAATTTCTGGGAGAGGAGCTTTTATGTATTTAGGCAAGTTCTAGAAAGTAACTGGTTAGCTCCTTGAACTTGACCTTTATAAATAGCCTGCAAGTTCCTAAAAATAACTACAAGCTTTAGTTAGATTCTGGAAGGTGATCTGTTATTTCAATTAAATTAATCTGTAAAGTAATGAGGAAGTAATATCTACGTTTTAGGTAAGTTCCTGGAAAGTGATCTGCAATCTCCATCAAAGGAACCATTATATTGTGATGAAGTTTTTGAAAGTGAAATGAAAGGAAGTAACCACTTGGTGAGTTCTAAAAATTAGCATGCAAGCTCGCTGAAAGCAACCTGAAGATTTGACAAAAGTAAGCGCTAAGTTTTAGGTAGCTTATGGAAAGTAGTTACATTCACTATATAAGAACCCTACAGCTTCTTCAAAAGTTCTAAAAGTAAAAAGCAAGGTTTATGATAGTAGCATGCAAGTGCTACAAAGCTGACCTTAGTCCTGACCAGTTAAACCTGAACTCTCAAGAAAGATGTAGAAAAACTTCCTTCAGGTTGAGGGAAATAGAGGCTGCATTAGTTGTTGCTGCTACATCCTTTCTCATTGATATGCAACTTATCAGATGACCAATAGTGATGGAATATTTCAATCATTTCCAATCTCTCTAATAAAGTTTTTATTTTTTTTATTTTATAATATAGAATTTTAGATACTTGTGGCTGCTGTAATAGTTATTTTCTCTTTAAGCCTGACTTACAGTAAAACTTTTGGACAGAACTTCAACTCTAACGGGAGAGGCTACTTTCTTTAGATGAGTTTCCAGAAGCTTTTCTACCCAACTGAGATGTTGCTTAAACTTAGTAGTAAACCGCAGTAAAATTAAAAAAAAAATTTTTTAAACTTGTTTTAAATAATATATAAAAATGTATAGCTATATGTTTTTTTCTTTATGTTTATAATCAAGGGCCTTTAAACTAAACAGAACCAGTTTTTTTCACTAGCTACCAGATCCTTTGTGAAAATGACAGCACTAACCCGGAAAAATTAAATCAAAGTAAAAGTATCTCCAACAGTTAGTTGAGAAAAAAACACAAGAACACAAAGCAGTGATGAGCGGCAAGTATAAAAGTTAAAAAGTCTTCATGTTGAGGAATAAGGAAAGTGTTAAAACAGGAATCCAGCACAGTAGAAACATGCAAAGACACAAAGCTGAGAGGATTTCAGGGTCAGCATCAACAGTTAGGAGCTGGGACCTACAGGAGTTAAACTAGGGAGGGTTAGCTTAGCACTGGGGTGGACATCAGAGGAGCCTGGCAGGAGAGCAGAGAGTGTTAAAGAAACCAGGAATAAAGCAGCGGATTACAGTGAGGAAGCCGGTTTAGGAAAGTAGGAAAGACGTGATGGAAGAGGCCCAGAAAACTCAGCCACACAGGGACATCCTCAGCGTGCCGTCTTACTGTTCGAATCGGATGTTTCTCAGATCTCCGTTATTAATACGAATGATGCAGTCGTTCTCCTGGAAAAGGCCCTGGTGTTCAGCCTTCCCTCCCCTCTCCAGACGCTTGACCAACAAGCCAAGAGTCCTGAAAGGTTTAAAAGTTCAAATCAAAGATCCAGCATGGAATTAAACCAGAAAAGAAAAAGAAATCCAGCTGCTATCATCATCAATCAAAAAAAGAAAAAGAATAATCTGGGCTTTAACAACTCCTAAAATGATTTAAACTAACATCAAAATGATAAAAGGCTCCCAATGTCATGAGTCATGGTTAGATTAAAGCAAAATGGTGACGTCAGGTGATGAATAAACAAAACAGCCCACATTTAAACAGCTTGTAGAAGCAGCCTTTTTCTGTAAAAACGAATTATTTCATATCAGCTTTCTTTCCACAAAAAAAATAAAAAATAAAAAAAAATAAAAAACAATCCACTGGACTTTGTTTCCAAGTTTTAAGATGTTTTGCTTCCCATCCAGGAAGCATTTTCAATTCAAAATGTCAGGAAAAGCGTTGAGTTTGAGATTCCTGACATTTTGAATTGAAAAGGCTTCCTGGATGGGAAGTTAAACTATTCAAACCTGGAAGCAAAATCCGATGGATTGTTTTTACTTTTTTTTTGGAATGACTATGACCTGCATGACTGAGAATCTTCACCAGCATCAGCTCTCTTTCAATGAATTTTATCATACAGCTTCAGTGAAATAACGTTTGCCAGCTGATCTTTGTAGATCTGCTTCTGTTTGGATAAAATCATAATTCCAACAAACGTCCTGATATGTGCAGACAGCTGAAGCGTATCAAGTTCTTTAGGCTTAAAATAAGCTCAAATCATTGGGTTAGATTTGATAAGTATCCTTTGGTTTCCTCCAAATATGGGGCTGTTGGTCTTTATCCATCAAAGGACCTGATTCCAGTGGTTCATACAGTCAGATTTTAGACTTTTCCCAGAAAAGCCATAGCTAATATTTAACCCACACCTGTATATTCTGGTTTACTGATATCTGAAACCTCATGAAATATTCCCTAGAGAAAAATAGAAGCTGTATAAATTTGTTCATGTTTATAGATTTTCCCACCTGGTAGTTAAGGTAATCATTGTTCTAGATAATGGACCTAACCCGAACTAATGACCTGCAAAGGTTTCTTCTCTGAGGTCACTGATGTCTTTCCACCTTGGCGTTGTCTTCTGGCAGATCTTTACATTCCAGATAATTCATTTAACCGAAGGGTCTCTGATCAATAGCTTAGAGCTGCTCTGTTCCTACTTAAATATTAGGGAGGCAGTAAGGGTGCAGGTACCTTTTAAAAAGACATTTGTTTCTGGTTTTGTCGTTATTTGCTAAATATTCACATTTTGAATTAGGATTGTCTTTTTTATTTTTTTCTGCATTGCTTTTGCTTGGATGCGGCTACAATAAAAAATGGCTGCATAAAAGAGGTTAGCATTTATTTGATTTTCTTTAAAGCTCTTTGTTTTTCCATTTTTTTTTTTGTTTTACAGATGAAACTACTGAAGGAAAAATGGCCGTCAGACCAACATTAGGCTAGGATGCATAAGTCTGCAACCTGGGCAGTAGCTCTCCTGGCAGTTTCCTTAATCCTCTGTTACTCTGCTCACCAATGTGGGATCCATTTGGTTCTAGGTGTTATAAACCCTCCTAACACCATTTTGCATGGATATAAATTGAATTGAGGGAAGCCATAGTGAGCTGACATGGTGGCTGAAGTCAAAAACGGCTTATGTCTCCCCATAAAGACAGCCCCAGAGGCTGAATCCACCTTAAAAGACACACTGAGGATTACTGACCGCAGCCTGAGGAGGAAAAATCCAGCTGGCTTTCCTCCTTGGCTAATTGCATATTTTTTCTAATATTACTGGTTTATATTTGTGAGTGCAGAGTTCTCTTAAGGTATCGTGAGCCTGCAGGTAAATTAGGTTGATTTCAAGCATTTGCCTCCGGCTTTCATAGCAATCCGAATATGAAATGTGATTACACTGAGGACACAGTGGGGGAAAAACAGAGTGCAGGAGTCTAAAAAGTTCAGAGGAGATTTGGTCGATTGAATCGGAGGAAGAAACACAATGCGATTTGCAGAAGAGGAGGAGAGGCCATTCCTCTGATGAAAGCCAGGCTTCTTAATCTTACTGCAACGCTTGAAATGACGTTTCCCCCAATAAAAGAAAAGTGCATTATAAATATGCTTTTAGGTTGATTAAGTTGAGCTCGGACCATATGCTTTGATTTTGAAGAGAGTTTGGACTCTGCGAGGGTTTTTAGTGAGTTTATGGAGCAGATTCATGCTCAGATGGTTTATGGACTTACAGGATTGTTTGTGTAAAATATAGTGAGATCAAAGGAGGTTTCTGTACTTTTTACATCTTTCCAATAATGGCGACACCCTTTATGTGCGACCTTGAGTCATATGGAATAGGGAAACGAGTCGGAAAATATTAATATGGCTGTAAAATTCCAGAATTTTCCATGCTAGACAGGAATCTTTAAGACTTTTTTTCCCTCTAACCTGCAAATATCTGCAGCTCCTCTGGCTGCATGTATCTAAGCCAGATGTCACATTCCTTTTAATTCTCCCACAGCTTCGCTCCATGTGTGTTCTCGGGAAGCTGCGTGCTTTTATGTCGTCCAGGCTGCTGGGTTTGTTTTTGAAGGAGGTAAAAACCATGTGCCAGCCACCATGGAGGAATACGATGGTCGTCTGCAGACCCAAACCACCTCCACTGATCACTGTAAACTGGCAAATGGCTTCACCATGAGCCTGGATACGCGTGTGTGGGTTTGTGTGTGCATATGGATGGATTTAGAGGAGGAGGAATGTCTGGTATGCAAGGGTATTTATATATTTGGTGTAGGGTCTGATGTGATCCAGAACAGGTTATGTTACACAAAGAAAACAATGGTATGAAAGAAGAGAGGGGGGCACTGATGCGGTTAGATCAGAGACAAATTGGCTCATGTAGCATAAAACAACCTAAACATGTGATATATATGCAGCCTTTATGAGGAGTTTGATCATTTAGAGAGTCTTTATGAATGTGCTGTGACTATGGGCAGGGTGTCTGGCTTCGCTGTGAAATGCAGCCCTGCTGCGGTTATTTTTACCTGCGGTCCCTGCCACTGAAAGGCACCACGTGGATCCCCAGGGGCCCGCCGTCGTTTGACACCTCCACCACTTTGACAATGTCTCTGGGAGACAGGTGGATGACAGAGACAAAGGGGAGTGTGGATGGAGAGGAGAGTGGAGACACCATGTGGATAAAAAAACAAAAGAAATAAGGGAGCAGGAAAAAAAGAAAAGAAAAAAATTATAATTAGACAAAAAGAAAGAAAGGCTCCAAGCCATTTCAATCCTTTGTTAATTTGCATCCCCCTCCTATACCTGCTTGTTACCATTAAAACCCAACTTATCTCGACTTTCTACACATAAATTTACATTTCTTCGTGATTGTTTTTATCTTTTATCGATGCAAAGATCTTATGCTTCAAAGTTTTTATGGACAGATTTGTTGTAATTCTATAAAATAATGTTTCTGTTTTGTTTGCAAAAATATATTTGATGGTGCCAATCTTAATGTTAATAAAGATAAGTCAAAGTCATAAACTAACATTTTAATTCTCATGAGTTTAAAAATGATTAGTTTATGGTTATAGGATATAATTATCATCGAAATTCTGAAACTGACTTCATTATTAAATTATTTCAAATATATTGATGACTGATGTATTTTTATTTACCTATTTAAAGTACAACTATCATAAAAAAGTAACTTTGTTTTATTTCCAAATCCAAAGACACTGTGCTATATAACTGAGGGAAGACTTGGGACACCAAACCCCCGTATTGCTTAGTGCTCCCCGCCCTGTTAACCTGCTGTTAACCTCATTGACCCTGAAAAAGCCACAGTCAGGTTCTTCTTCTGACCATCAAGCACATCTAACATAAATCTGTGGAAAGCTTCCACTCCTCCTTACTTTATATTGGGGGATGTTTTAGAGGTTTCTTGCATGCAGGCACATTTTCAGCCACCCCACAGCATCTCTGTCAGACCCAGACTTTCCATTTCTTGATTTGCAGCCAATCTCTGCAGGGTTTAGTGATTTGTTTTCAATTCTTGTCATGTTTAAAGTTCAAATATTGGAGCAGTGCTGCTCCAGTGATGAAGGATAGAAAGAAAAACCATCACCATGTCATCCAATTGTTAAACATTTTGAACACTTGCTCCTTCCTCTCTCCATAAGAGCTCAAGACATTTTCAAAGTATTTCATCTTTGAGTTCTCTTACTTTGCCTTCCCTGTTCTTTATATTCCATCCCCTCGTCCTGCTTTTTGTACCCAGAAACTTGAAATGCACTATAATCACATTAGAAGCTGATCTCCCCTGGGTGCTTTCTGTGATTTAAAATGGGTCCCAAGTTTTTATTGTGAAAGCACAGACATTTTCTTCAGGTATCTTTCAGTTATGGCAGAATCCATGCTGGTTTAATCTTTGGTGCAGAGACTGTTTTCTTAAATAATCCTTACAAACAAATGTATTTTCATTTAATTTTATTTTTTACAGAACTTTCTTTTCTTTTTGGGAGTTTCGTTGCTTTCTATTCTACCTCAGTTATTCAGCTGAAATTAAATATCTACGTATATGTTTAATTATTTAATAATAAAGGACATTAGTATTCTAATATTTACCCATTATGTATGCTGATAAATTGTTGTTACCATTTCAACTGTTTGAATCTCATTTTCAGAACTAAATTGTATTCTCAGATTTTTTTTTTTTCCATATAATGGCAGATATGATCCATATCAGTTCCCATCAGTCTGCTATAAAAGGGGGAAGGGCTGAATTAACCCAGAGCCTCATTAGATGTAAACAGAAAAACAGAAAATTTTAAAAAGGAGACAAATAACAAAAACCTGAAATAAATATTGATGGGAAAAAAAGGCACGTGGAATTTTACACAACAAACCAATACCTTTTAGGGACACGAACAAATAATCTATAAATGACAAAAAAGTTTCTAAGGTCCAATAAAATAATGTGTAAAAGCCTTTATGTTATATTGCATTAGTTCTTAGCCACCACAGCCTTTCAACAGACTTTAGACTTGGTCTTAAAGCTTCTCCAGATTTACTGAATAGATTTACATTTTTTCTTAATTTAGGATGCTTTTTAACTTTTTCCATTGCCTTTTTTTTAACCCAAACTACAAATACTGCATTCTGATGTGCAACAGCTGGACTGAAAATGAGTAAATAGTAAAAGTCTAACTAAAAACTTTAAAAGCTCTTCAGAAAGCCAGAAGAAATCACAAGGTTGACTGAAAAAGTGAAACTAATGAGTGGTTTAAAATTTCAGCAAAGTCCTTTAGAAGTTTAACCTGCTCTTAACTTGTCACTATGCCTTATATAAGGTAGGGAACCTTGTTGAATTGATCCTGGGGTGCAAAATGAGTTCCCTGAGGATAAATCTGACTTCCTCTGCTGAAAGAAAAGCAGTAAAAACTTCCTGACAGGATGTGGGATCAACTCATAAGCTTGCTTTCAGTGCATGTAGTTGAAATGTAGACCTTTCCTCTGAGAGGATCTGCAGTTAACGCTTTATAATGGTGTGATTGTGCATCCCCTTAGAGGCCTAATGGCTTCTTTTATCACCACATTTAGAGACTTTTAGTCTAATTTTCTCAATGGTAGCAGATAATAAAAACACCACAAAGCAACCAACACAATGTAGAACAGTAGCTTATTCTTCACTGATGTTATTATTTAGGAAGCAACCAGCTGGAAACGCAAGAGAAGAAGAGGAAGCAGACTTTATTTTGCCACCCAGAAACATTGTGGCCTGTGCAGAATGCATGTACTGGAAGTGACATAAGCTGACCCTTTAAATGTATGTAAAAACAACAAAATGGTTTTCGCTCTGTTGTTTTTTTTTTTTTTCTTCTCAGCTGTTTTCTTGGCTGTGAAACATGCACACTCTGGCATATTTTAAGGAGCCGCCACATCTAATCCGCTCACAGCTTAGATGCGATGGCTGTGATTAGCTCGGGGAGGAAAAAGGCCCCCTTGTTGACAGCTAAGAAGGCGGGAGAAAGCCAGACTCTCACCGAAATCACAGGAATAACAACACCATACCTGCATATTAAGCTGGAGGCATGCAACAGAGCAAAATAACAAAACAAAGCACAGTTGTTAATAACAGGAGCAGAGCAGGTTAGTGCGTGGGAGAGCTCTGACGGCGAGATGAGGATCATTCTGCTCCCACAAAAGATAATTATGTAAATCAGGAAGCAGGCAAAAAAAAAAAAAGATTTAGCATAAACAAGCCTGGACTGCGACACACAACCTGCTGCATGTAGCTCTTCACAGATGATTAAGTGTCAAAAGAGGTAAACTTATTTCTCCTTCATGGTACAAACTGGAAACAAACCTGTGCTAAATTATCGTACGACTTTCAGAGAAAAGCAAACGCTGTTAAGCCATACATTCATGTTTTTATCTTTTACCCATAATGGGCCTCTGGGTTTAAGAGAAGCTGCATCTTTTCTAGGCCTGAAGCAATTAATTGAATTAACCAGTTGGTGAGATTCTTAACTAATTAAGTAATTGAATAATCGTTAATGGAGTGTATAGACTCTAAAACATGCCATTTGTTGTAAGGAAAATCCACTCAGTGCAGAAGCCAAGTTAAAGATGTCATATTATATCATATATATATATATATATATATATATATAAAGCAGTAAATATGTTTTGTTTTTAGCACTCTAACACCTGTTTAGTAAATTATATTAATTGACCAATAATATCTTTTTCTTGATCAACTGATTAATGGATGGCTAAAATAACAACTGCAGCCCTGGTTTCACACGCTGGCATTAAATCTGCACTCTGGTTTTCTGCCTTCATAGAGGGTTGAATGTTCTGCTGTCACTTTCCTTAATGAAACAATTTGATTATAAACTTGATAATTAACTATATGCTGTTGTTCTTGTAACAGAAAGTACTCCTGGTTTAGTGTGCCTTTCTAGACTGAGGCATTGATGAAGGAAATGTTTTAATGACATACTTGTTCTTCTGTTTTCTTATAGAAGGTCTCTCTATCTTGAACTGCTCCACCAATTAAGAATTTGTTATGTAATTTTTCTCGTATATTATAAAGTTTTAATTGCTCTGTTGTTCTGAATCATTTTTCTGTTACTGGACCGTTCACTGATGCTCTGCTCCTATGAAATATACATAACAAGTGTTTCTTTCATAGAGAGTAATTCTGCCCAATCTTTCGGTTTGTTTTTTATTCACACAGCCAGTAAAGTAGCTTTGTTCTGTTATTTACCACATGGACTCTGTCCAGTAATTTATTATATCATCAACCATTTCTTAGAGAAAGATATGTATGTTTCGTTTTTTTTTCCTTCAAAAAGAAAGTACTCTTGGTTCTGCATTTATGTTCACCTTGATTTGGACTTGCTTTTTTAAAGCCTATTAATGCAACGATGGTTTTGAATTGGCGCCTTTGAGTTAAACTGATCTTATAGTCAATCATATTAGAAAGGTGCAGATCACTGGACCTGGATGTAAACTGATGACCCCTGTTTAAGTAGAACAGATTCATTCTAGTTTTTTAAGAGGATATTTTTTGTTTTACTCTTCATAACAGAGGTGAAACTACCAGTCCAACATTTAAAATAGTATAAATTTTACATATGTAATAATCAAAGGTTTTTTAATCAGCTCAAACAAAATTCTAAAGTTAGGGACTGAGCAGGATACAATCTGTAGTTGCACTGAACTAAACCCAGCAGAAAGGTCACATCGCAAACAAGAGGAAAGTGCAAACAGGCAGGTTCCTTACTACAGCTGGCTGGACTGACTTACTCTAAAGACGAGACAGGAGTGTGCTCCATGCAGGAGTCTGCTCGGCCAACCGGCTCGATTCGCCCGTTCTCATTCTCCCTGGTCTCCTCCTCCTGGAACAGAAAACACAGAGACTGAAAAGTTGGAGACAAGAAGACATCTGCTGCACATCAGCTTTAACTTCTATGTTTCTACGCATTGCATGCAAATAAAGCAAATAACCACAGGCTCAGCTGTAGAACTTCTTGAAGCACACATCAGTCTCTGACAGCTTCAGATTTGTTTATACTGATATTTTCAGTTTTGCAGTTTATTTTTCAGCAGACAATACAGTTGATAGCCAATTACAATAAGTGCAATAAGTGTAGACAAAAACATTAATAGTAATAATTTCAACGGCTCCTACATAAAATGGTTTGATCAAAAGACCTCCGCCATTCAGAGGACTCTAGTGGCGCTCAGTAACTGAGGGAGGAAACCGGCGTGACTTATACAGGAGAGAGACTGAGAGCTGGAACTCTGGTTTGTTATGGACATCGGCTGAAGTTTTTATGGGTTGGGATACAGCTATGCCTTCGCTTTGGGTTGTAGCTTCTTGCTTCAGCCTCCATAGGGAGGAAGTTGGCTTATTTAAGTTTCCAGAGGATCCTGAGCTGCTTTTTACCTGGGTGAAGCAGATCAGATGATCAGAAAGATTTGGAGCACTCCACAGCATCTTTAATGTGCTTGCAACATTTTGAGAAGGATTTTTTTGTTTTTTGTTCCTTCATTGTAAGAGTTGCTTGGTTGTTCAGTGAATATTTACTGATAGCAGCTGTCAGAAGCTGTACCTACTGCGTCTCTCCCAGGGGGGAGAGATGGAACAAGAAAAGCTGGTGTTTGATCTAGACTACAGCATACATTTTAGACCAGTTCTTAGGAATAACGTTGTCAGTTCTCAGGTATTAGGAAAAAAAACCTGAGAACTGAGGATATCCTAAAATGTACACCGCATCAGAGAGAGAGGGATCTATACCAGTCTGACTGCCTAGGCTAGAGGCTCTGGATGGTTCTGACCTATAAGGTGTGATGCCTCCATGTTCCTCAGCATCACTACCTTCTCCTGAACTTAAACTGATGGTTCAACCTCACAACCCATTTCCAGACTAGATAACCTGGAGCAAACATCAATGTTTCCATCCAGCTCCATCATAGCTCAGCTAGCTCCAATAGGGTTCTCCCTCATCACCGCACAAACATGGGCTTTTACCAGCTTTAAGTCAGAGTGCTGCTGTGGAGCTACTAAATGTAGGACATTTGTGTTAAAAAGAAGCCTGTTTGATTCATAATACCTCAGCACCACTCGGTATGTCATGTTGCATGATTTTAGTGCGAAATGCATGAAAACACTTAAAAACACTTTAAGCCTTGAGAGGTTTAACCACATATGTTGGACAGAGACGAGTCAAATTAAAGAAAAGTCCATTTCAATGTGGAGAAAGCTCCAGCAGAACCCAGCTTAGCTAGAGGAGCTGTGTGGACTCAGGGACAGCTGGTTTGAATAGACGGAGCAGACACACAAAAACCTCACAAGCAAATGTCCAGCAGCCCTTTCTGAATTAAAGAAGGAAGGCATTCATGGTAGAATGTACTCCTTAGAGCAGGGTCACCAACGTGGTGTCCACGGGCACCAAGAGCTCCTCCAGGACCACATAAGGTGCTTTCAGCATCCTCTGCAAACAGAACTACTCATCAGTGGCGACATTTGAAATGTTATTCTGTTCTTTTTTAAATCATTTATAAAGTGTTTCATCATATAGATCATTCAGGCATTTGTAGATACTTTAAAATGACAATATCTAATAGAAAGAAAAAAATCTGTTTTTTATATATGAATTTTAGGGGACCGCCAGCCCCTCCAGTATCGGTAGTCCTTCCTATGTCTCAGTACCTGTGAAGTAGCCATCAGCCTTAAAAAGGTTGGTGACCCCTGCCTTAGAGGCTTCATCTAGGAGAGAAACTGTGGCTGACAGAAAAACTCTGAACCAACACTGAGACCAAACCATCACCCTTCTGGTTATCAATATATGAATCCATTTATCAGTTTCCATTCAGCCACCCATCATACATTAACAGCCAACAATCCCTCTACTGAGCTCTTTACTTATCTAAACATCTGAGCTATCCATCCATTGCCACAAAACATACAGGTCCTGGATCCAGATGTAAAGTATCGTAGCAAGGGGGGCCCTACCAAGGCGCAGCAGCTCTACTCTACACCACATAGCCATAAAAATCTGATCCTATGAAACAGAACCAAACCAGCCTAAGCAAGTTCAAAACTTTTTAACCAATTTTCTCCATGATCATGTGGTTTAGTTGTCATCTCTATAACCAAATGAGGGGGGGTACAGTGGTTAACCATCCACGGTTTTAACTTTTTCACCACCCTTTTCCTCCATCATACCATGACTGGTTAAAAGGTCTAAATCACTGAATTCCTTCACTTGAGGCAGATATTTACTCTGACCTTTGTTAGCCATTGGTTAACCTTGTTTCCTGTGCTTTTATCTCTGAAAACAACTTGGTGGATTATTGCCCCCTAGTGTTTGCCTAGTTAGCTGCTCATTATTACTAAAACAAGAAATATTAACACATTCATATCAGGTTATTTGTCAATTATCTTCTTAATGTTGTCCTTTCATCTCTAACTATTCTACAAATATTTGGAAATTCTTAAACCCCCAAAAAACAGGCTGATTGACAAACCTGCAGAAGCCAGGAGGAGCAGACTGGAGGAGGTCTTCCTAAGGTATAAAAACACATGCCCTTCAAAAAGTCTAATGCCTTCTAACTCACGTTGCCTTTGTTCTCCTCACTCTTCACATAGTGTTTATGTTAGAACAGTCAAGTAGAGACTGGTGGCATTTGTGCACGCGCGCACACATTCACACACAGGGCACCATGAGAGTAGAAAAATGAGAAGCAGAGAAGAAAGGTCATTAAAATTTCACGGCGATACCAGAGAGGAGATACAAGCGAGCAGCAGCGACGGCTCAGACCTCCCCGGCAACTGGCCTCATCAGTATGAAAATGAGCCTGCCGTTACCGTGGCTGCTGTACAGTTGCCATGACACTTTGGTTGCCTGGAGGACATGCCGCTGCATGGTGGTGGATGGATGCGGGCATGTGTCAAACAGAGCTGAGGAGGAGACTTCTGTCACTCCTGATAAGTCTAAAAAAGCTTTTCTGACAAGAAAAATACAGAAATATTTGGCTTTTAAAATACAAGTGCTCCTTTTCTTTACATTTTATACTTCCTTTTTCAAATATTAAAGGCCAATGTTGAAAAAAAAAAAAAGGACCCAAACAGAAAACTATACCCAATTAAAAAAAGAAAAGCTTTATTTGATTTCACTTATTTGATATTTGATTTCTGAAACAAATCAATTTCAAATCAAATTTATTCAACATATTCTTATTGATTTTTTCCTCCACTTTTTTTAGCTTCTTCCCCTTTATTTTAATCCTAGTGATACACTTTTTTAAAGATCCGATCATCAGCACAGAAAAATAGTCTAGTCATAACCTAAATAACTCCAAATAAGATCCAATTTTTTGTACCTTGACTTTAAAGGTATAGTGGAGGATTTTTGCACATTTTTGAAAAGACTCTCCCTCTCCACTGAGAGAGAACGAAAGTTACTGCTGTAACTATGGTTCTATGAATCCCAGATGACCGTCACAGGTGGTGCTTCAAGCGCAGGTCAGGTATTAATGACAACAAAGTCACCTGTGACCTGCCAGGGACCCATGTGACTCTATATGGTCACATGGCACCCGGCGTTCAATCCCTCAATCTCAGTTTCCGAGGAACTAAGCACTCTGGCGGTCATCCGGGTTTCATAGAACCGTAGTGACAGCAGTAACTTTCGTTCCATTTCATCCCTACTGACCACCAGAGGCGGTGCTTCAAGCACTGGATGACTTATGTCAACAAGCTAGGGATGGAACGGTTTATGAAAACAGTCCGAACCGTTCGGTTGGACTGTCTCGGTTCAATTCGCGTGTGTTGCGTTCAGTTCATGCGCTGCTCCTTTTTCCTTTTTCTCATAGGTGAAGCGCTTACACTCCAGAGCAGAAGGTGGCAGTACTGCGACCAAAGCCAACCACCAGTAGTAAACAAGAAGAAGAAGAAGCGAAGCAGCGTAGTCGGGTGTAGCAGAAAAAAATCAGTTGTTGTGGAGAATTGTGTGGGTATGGCGAGTGGGAAAGAACAGGAGTTGGAAGATGCGCCAGCAGCACTTTATAGGTCTGCTGTATGGGAGCGCTTTGCATTTAGAGTGACCTACGATGACGGCGGAAAGAAAGTGGTGGATAAAAGTGCAACAGTGTGCAAGCATTGTGCAACATGTGTTTTACTATACAAGACATAATAGATTTTCCTAAAATCAACATATACCAAACCGAACCGAAAACCGTGAACCCAACAAAACCGTGGATTTTGTGAACCGTTCCACCCCTACAACAAGCTAACGAGGAATCTGCAATACTGCTATTAAAAAAAGAACAAAGCTTACCAGTCGTCGCAGTGGCGACCACAGATCTGGTAAGGGTGCAGAAAGAGAAAAACAACAGCATGGGCAGCCCCTGGAGGGTGAGACCTACCCGCAGCTCCGACCAAAGTTGGTCACGGGGCTACTAGCAACAAGCAGCTAGGATTACAGTGGTAAACACAGAAGCAACCAGCTTCACACCACCACACCTGCGCGCGAGAAGAACAAAAGGAATTGAACGCCGGGTGCCATGTGACTATATAGAGTCACGTGGATCCCCGGCAGGTCACAGGTGACTTTGTTGTCATTAATACTTGACCTGCACATGCAGAAGACTGATCATTCAGTGCTTGAAGCACCACCTCTGGCAAATCAATAGGGATAAAATAGAACGCCTATTAAAGGCGTACAAGAGCATGCACGAGCACATTTCTCCTTGTGCACGCCCTGTTTAAAAGTTGCTGTTTGGATCGCTCATACAAGCTTACTTTGCAAAAGAAGATTAGCAATTTCTCCACCATGTCAGACTCACCAACGTTAAAAGAAAACGGGGACGAGCGCATAGGACGGCCTTACGT